TTGCGTATCTAAAGAAAATCAGCAGAACCTCTGATAGTGAGGTCATTTTCTTCACACAGAAATCTCCCAGCAGATGGAAATGAAGTCAGTGGCTTTTTGATTCTCTAAGAATTAAATAAAACTTAATATGGACTTTGGAAGCTGGCCGAGTCATTGGAAGTCCAGCAGAATTTCCTCCAGCCATAAATTGTATGTTGGGCTAAATTGCTGGGGCTTTCCCATCCTTTCCTGCAAAGGCAGTTCAGGCTCTGAGTAACATTAAAGTTTCTGTGTCTTCCTAAACTGTATTTTCAGCTGATGGACAGCAGATAATTTGCATTTCTAGCTCACACCCTTTCCCTGTGCTAGCATGCCCTGGTGGTTCCCTTTGCACATGCCAGCTGTCATGTACTTTTGCTGCGGGTCCTTAGTAATTTGTGTCCTAGAGTCACCCTTGCAGGGAGCGTCCGTGCTGCCTGGGGAGGATTCACACTGGGCCCCAACAAGCACCGACAGCCCTTCCCATTTAGCCCTTGCTCACCTCAGTTCACAGGCCTGTTGGCATGAGATGGAAGGATGCCTCCAGTGCGTGTTCCTGTCCAGGATCGTTGGTAGCGCCTGATCACTTCTTAAGCGCTCCTGTTTGTCACTCAGGCTGTAGAAAAAGTAGCCTGGGTGTGAAATCCAGGGGGGATGGTGTCAGGGGCTCCACTCACAAAAGAAAGAGTTCATCTTGCCATTACTAATGGGCTCAGCACCTTCTGGAAGAAAGCTCCTAAAAGCCAGATTTGATGGCTCACCAGTTCCCATTTATTTTGCATCAGCAAGAGAAGAGCTGTGCCCCCAAAGCCTGTTTTCTTTGCTGTGCCGAGCTCCCACTGGCCCTGGGTGTCCTCGTGCATGATGCTGGGTGTCCTTGTGCATGAGTAGGCCTGGTGCCGGGCTCAGTGAAGTGTGCAAACCTGTCAACTCCCGTTCATTGACTTGGAAGTCTCCATCAGCTTCTGCCTCGTGCTTCCTTACTGCAGACCACCACAACACAGGTTCACTGTGCGTCCCATTTACTAGGTATAGTTCAGGATCTGGGTCTGATTTGCAGCTTTGGGAGAGAGGAAGGCTGCCACACTGCAGTGAGCAGACACGCTGGCCAGCGCAGCTGGCTGCTGCTGCCTCTCTCCGCTGTCCACAGCCCTGGTCACCTCATTGCCCGAGGCAAGGCATTGCTTGAGAGGGTGAAGAACCATTTGTGGGGAGGAATGTAGCAGTGGACAGTAGAAATACAAGTGCAGCTATTATACAAGGTGTGCAGAGGAGCCGGGGAAGAGCAGGCTGGATGTAGGGAAGGGCGTGAGGGCTCTGGGAGGACTGGGACTCCCGCTGGGGTACATGCCCCTGCACTGCCCCGTTGCATGGTTACAGCAGAGGTGAGCTGTCACCCTCCAGCTCTGTGCTGCTCAGCAGTTTGCTCCTACCTTTTGCTGCCTCGAGCGTTTATAAATCATAGCAGCCCTAACTTGCACTCTTGTACCTTTGCCAATGTAATTAGTACACTGCACATTTTAAGGGAGTTATTTCTTTCTCCAGAGCTGCCTAACAGGGCCTCTGCATGCACAGTGCTGTCTGGTCACTGAGTGGGGAAGGAACATGCTTAACAAGAAGTGCTTTATCCAAGCATTTTGGTTTTCTTTAAGGAAAGTGCTGAGAAAGGCAAGAAATTACTGAAGGGCTATCAGGCTTCTTGTGTTGAGCCCACCAAGTCCCCCAGGGAAGAACAGCAGAAGCAATTGCTCAGTATGTCTTGGGAAGAGGCCATCGTCCTCTAGTCTGGTCACCTGTACCTCCACTGTCCTTGTGACCGTTGCACCTCTGGTGCTGTCAGCTTTGGGCGCTCCAAAACCACCAGTGAGGTGTGCAAAATTTTGAGCATTATGAAAGGAGGAGGAAGGTGAAATCCATTTTGTGTGTGTTCCCCCAAGACTGTGGGACCTAAGCTCTGATATTTATCACCTGAAGGCATGTAATACAAATGTTCTTCAAAGATACCTGCAGAACTAGATCCAGGGTCTAGATTCAGTTTCTGTATTCAATAATCAACATTTTTTCCTCCGTCATCCGGGTGGATAGTGGCATTTAAGGGTTTATTTAGATGCCCAAAATTTTAATGGCCCTTCTCATTCTCTACTTTCACCTCTGGGTTTCAGCTAGGAATTCCTGCATCAAGCTCCAGAAGTTAACAGTACAAGAGCACACCTGTTAAGTAGGTATGCAGTCTTGCTTTGAAAGTAAAGCATGTCTGCCATGACGTTATCTGCCTTGCTTTTGATAAGCAAGGGACTGGCTGCAACAGAGCTCATCCGCTTTGACAGACAGACGGATTTCCGATTCAGTCGAACCACAGTGGTTTCATGATAATGCTGCAAATTTCAGCAGGTCAGTAGTGATCTGACAGAGATCAGTACCTCATCTGGGATTTGAATGATTTATCAAGCACATTGACTCTTCAGAGCTGACAAAACATTGCTCCTTTTACCCTCAGGTGTTGAGTTGGTTTAAATAACCTCCAGGGCAGCAGGCTGGCTTTGGGTTATAAATAACTTAAGCAATAATTTCTTACAGTATTTTGTTTTGGGTTTTTTTTTTTTTTACTCTGTTTGTGCTACAGCATGATGCTTCAGCTAAATCGTCAGTCAATTTGTAATGGCTGGCTCTCTCCAATTAAATACTGAAGTTGATTGACTCAAGGTATAAGAAAACTGTTGGAAAAAGATCACTTCAATATCAGAGAAGTATGTGAAAGAACAATTTACACCACAGACTAGAGATAAGGGACAAGAACTGGGGTATCTCTCTATAGAAATAATGGAGATAAAAAGGCCTGCTTAACCTTGAGCAGGATGTTTTTGTTCAATACCTTGGACCAGCCTCAGAGGTAAAGCTGACATTTTGCAGCAATGATATTAAAACCTATAGAAAGGAAATCTTTTCAGGTGTGTATGCAGAGAGGTGTAGACTATTTCACACAGCGTCAGCTGGACATGAGGGGGTCTCTGGTACGCAAGTTTTGTAGGTGCATTCATTTAATATCGTGCTGGGTGTAGTTTCCCTTGCTAAGAGCTTCCTGGGCTGGAGGTACCCTGTACCTGCATGGCAGCAGAGCAAATGTCCTGCTGTTGGCAGCACTAGGAGGGTGCATCCTGAATATTTTAGTTAAAAAGCAGCTATTCATTAGCTCTAACTATGCAAATAACGTTTGATGTTCTGGTTGTCCTGGGTCTAGGTTTTCTGAGAAGTCTGATTATAAATACTTAGGATCAGGGCAGGACTGTCATTAGCCTTAGGCAAGGTGGCCAGTTTGATGGGAGCAACAAAATCATTTCTGGAAATAAGAGAGAGAGATCCCCTGCAGCAGCAGTAGGTCTGCGTGCCACCTCTGCATCCTCTGCAGCAGAGGTAGAGGGACTCTTCCAGACGTCCTCTTTCTGGGGCCTTGGGGTGCATAGATCAGCATGATCTGCAGACGTGTCCTGCTGTCTGAGTGATAGCTCTGCTTGGCTCTTTGCCCTGCTTTGCACTAGCCTCTTCCCGTACCGCCCTCGTGCTGGAGGAGAGAGAGATTCATGCAGGTGGCAGGTCACCTCTGTACCTCCCACAGAGGCAGGAATGTGCCCTCTTCCTAGGCAGTGACATGGTTGGACTCTGGCTGAAGTTGTTGCAAAGAGGGCAGTGGGCTGGGAAACCATGCTCTTCCTTTGTGTACGCTGTTGGGAAACTTAAGAGCTGGTGTTGGGCATGGGAGTTTGCCCTTAGTCAGGGTTGAGCAAGAAAGAGTTTTAGGACTGAGTCTTTTGGCATCCCAAATACAAAACATTGGTCATCAAATTATCCTTCGTTTTTGTCCAGTGTAACCATTTATCCCCTAGAAGCTGTGACAATTGCTGCTATGTAAAGGTGCGAGGTGCCGAACTGGGCACATTGCTTATGACTCAGATTAAAACTGGCTATAGACAGAGAGCAGGTTGATAGCCTATAGCTAGAGTAGATGGATGTGATCGTATAGAAGTATATACATTTGCCTGTATTTTAGTATGTCTTCCCCCACCTGCTCCAGCATTGCTCTTCATGACAAGAGGGCTTTTCTCTGGGTGTGCTTTGCCTCATATGCTGTGGATGAGTCCCAAGAGCACTGCTGTTGGTAGCAGTTCTTCAACAGCGGGTCAGAAACTTTTTTTTCCTACAACCTAAAGAGCATTTGTCTTACTAGGTGTACAGTGAACCTTCCTATATAGCTAGGGTCTGTTGCACAATATAGAGACCACTGGTAGTGCTCAAAGTCTGTCATGATGCCATGGATGTGACTGTGTAAGTCTCATCTGCCTCTGATGACTCCCTGGTTCCTGAGGCATCGTGGTGCCTGCTTGTCTGAGGAGCTGCTGCACTGCCTCTCCACCTCTCTGGGAGAGAGTAAAGCCAAAGTAAGAGGCTTGTGTAAGATGGCAGGTTAGAATGATCGAGAAGGACAACCAGAGCAGCTAAGCTAGTATGAAGAAGAAGACTCGCAGATGTAGAAAGGCTGTGTTTGAAGGAATGAAGGGGATTGCCTCCCTGTGGATGTGGAGCATAGCCCATGAAAGTGCCTATTAGTGCACACGTAGGAGAGGGTGCAAGGGCTTGTGGCTATACGATAAAATTATTCCACTGCCTAAACCCCTGTGGCAAGACTCTCAAAAGCATGCAGAGGGAGGTCAAGATATCCATGTGAGTCTGAGTATAGGACCAGCTTCACTAGGGTTTCCGTGTCGAATTCCTCTGGAGAGGTCCGTTTGTCCAGGATGGTGCTGATCTTACAGAAGTGGGTTTACATACTCCTGAACAAACATCTCTTAGGGTGGCATTTGCCTGCTTGGAAACGTTAATGGGGCAAGTCTTAAACATGAGTTTCTTCTTCTCCTCCCTCTCCCTTTCTCCCTTCTTGTCAGAGACAGGTCAGTGTGTCATGTGTCTCCCTCTGTATTCTTGATTAGGCTCTGTGGATATCCCCCCTTCTATGATGAAAATGACTCCAAACTCTTTGAGCAGATCCTTAAGGCAGAGTATGAGTTTGACTCTCCGTATTGGGATGACATCTCTGAATCTGGTAAGAAGCTACTGCTAATTTAATTGCGACAGCTGTATGTACATTCATACCTGTTATAGATATCCTCCATTGTGCATGAAAATGAGCTTTCCATTGTGTGTGGAACTGCCTTTAACTGAAGATCGGTGGGAATGTGCATTTCTCTTAGCTCAGACAGTTATGGGAGGTTGTTTCTGCAGGAGAGCAAATTAAGTACCATTTCATCCAGTCATGCACAAAGCACTGCAATGTAGCTGGGGCAGAAGATTAAGAGAGCAGAATTAGCCTTCAGCCCCAAGAAGACAAAGCAGTTTAATTTTTCCTTCACATCCAAATAAAACACGGATGTTTTATTTGTCACTAATAAGAGAACACAACCTGGTTCAGCTCTCTTACCAAAACCGTGCTGCTGCTCTGAAGTGAGCCTGCAATGGTTACGGGAAAGACGAAGTCAATAAATTAATGGCTTCCAAATGGGGGGGGGAAAGGTAAAAAAGCAGGGGGGAAAACACTATCAAGTCTCTGAGAAAGGAAGGAATTTTGTCCTGTGGTCAGAGCACAGATGCCGATTTAGTAACTGCGAGCGCTGCCTGCATGGTCTCATCCGGATAGCTGCTCATATGTTCACCCAATTCCTTCCCAGTCCAGAACCATTTAACCCATTAGCACGTGGCTTTACCCTTTCTAGTAACTCTAGCAGAGAGCCAAACAAACTGCATTGTACATGTACATGGACCTGAAGGCATTGGGATCCAGCACGGCTCAGCATCTGCCAGCTTGAACCATGAGCGTTGGTGTCTCTACATGACCACAGAAGCATGTTTGGTATTCCACCCTGAATGTGCCACTGACTTGCTGTGTGGCCTTCAACGGGTCACGTAAGCGTGGTGTTCTTGCTGTATCTGAAAAGGGGGAAATGTCTGCCGTTTCACTTAGGAGAAGAAGTGAATTCTAGGGAAATTTTCTGATGGGAAAATGTCCCCAGAAGTACAGTTTCTGGATTCATTAGTACTACTAATTAAAGCAGGAGAGACGTAAAAAGAACTGCTTTATTTTAAAGTTGACCATATCCTGTAATTTCCTAATAGAACAACATTTCATGCTGCTTACATCTGTTATCCAGATATTACAGTAATGGACTTTTTAAAAATACGTGTAGTGAGAGGTTTTTTTAAGCCTATCAGGATTTTGAGAGAAAATACGAAGGTCTGCTGGCAGACCTCTTTGCATTTTTGGGGGAATGTCCATCACCTAAAGCAGCACAAAGAATGTCCGGCCATATTTGGCTTTGCTGAGGCCCCTTCAGCTACTCTCTCCTGAATCTACTGGATGCACGCCATGCTGTGATCTTCCTCCTCTCCGTTCCAGCGCTGACCAAAACCACACTACCTCATGCCCAAGGGAGTTCATTTTCCTCTGTAACTTGTTTTTATAAACGTGCAACATATTCTCCCAACTACCCATACGTGCAGTTGCTTGAAACGAACAATGAGCGGCTCCTATTGCAGACTTTCTCCAAGCCTTTCCTGCTAATTGTATCAGCATCTCCACCAAAAACAAGGTCAGAGGCACCTGACTGACCAAGAGCAGGGACCTGGCAGCCTTGAACTCTCCTGACCCTGAATTATTCACTCCACTCTTAAGTGTAGCTGCTGGAGTAGAGGCCTTAGGCTTTTAGCTGCCATATGAAGTAGCTTGGGTTTGGGTCACATCCATCAGGTAACCTACAAATGCCCTAGGACGTTTTTCTGGCAGCGTGACTGAGTGGCATTGAATGGCCTGGGTCCATACTGTTAAACCTCCTTTTGCCTCCACAAAAAGGATATACATGCATCTAGCTTATGGGAAATGAGCTGTGCTAATTCCCAAAACGTGCCAGGGAGTTGTTTGGGAAAGAGCTACTTGGTCTCAATGAAAATTGTAGTTGTACCAGGGACAACTCAGCAACAAAATAGGTGATGGCTTTCCAGCATGCGGGAGCATTTCGTGGCACTACTCAGTTTACTAGTATAGATACAGTCTTTGCATTATCTGAGCAACCTGTCCCATACCTACAGGGAGTTCTGTCAGTAACTAGGTTGCTGTACGATATAGCTGGGAAACTTAAGTGTTTTTCTGATCATCCTGCAGCAGAACTGGGCATCAACCCTATTGCTTTGAATTATTTTGTCTTTTTTTTTTTTTTACAGCTAAAGATTTTATTCGGAATTTGATGGAGAAAGACCCTAATAAAAGATATACCTGTGAGCAAGCAGCACGGCATCCTTGGTAAGCAAATTTCACACTGCTGTGTGAAACTGTCACGACAGAGAGCATCATTTATGTTCATGAGTGGAAACAGGTTTTCTGCTACGTAGTACGCTAGTCTCCACTAAGTAACTCTGTGCTCTTATTCTTACGCCTATATTTGTCCACCAGACATTCCTGGAAAGACATGATAGTCTTTAATCTCATGTACAAACCTGTTGAGTACCTGTATAAGGATTCAGTGAAATGCTGCACTGTGTTGACTGTAGTGCTGCAGTGGGATACACCAAAATTATTGAATGCAGAATTTGAATGTGAGGGCAAAAGCTCAGCTAGGAGTCAGCAGAGGTGGAAAAAGCTGCTATGTACTTGCTCATAAGGTCTTCGCCAAGATAGTATCAGAGCACTTAAGAGCACCCTTGTGAAGCAGAAAGTCCTTGTCTTTGTTTCACACATGATGACGGTCCACTTCTTCACTCCAGGCCCTTCAGGAATTTAACTGATGCTTGCCCTGAGGACCTGGTCCAGCTGTTTTCCCTCTCTTGTCAAACGGAAGCGATAGGACCCTCTAGAGAAGGATATGCTGATGTAGGATCTGAATTGGCTGTGGCAATGCTCTCTGCAGTGAGAATTTAGATCTCTGTTCAGTGCTTTAGATTAGATAATGCTTTGCAAATGGATGACTTGACTAACATTACCCAAGGATTATGTAGCTGAAACAGGAGAATGGCGTTTGTAGCCTTAACCAGTCCTGTGTGACTGAACATCAGCTCACAGTGCTAGCCGCACCCAAAAATAAACTTTCAATATAAATTTTTTAGGGCATGGCCCATTATATGCAAAGCAAGCTATTATTTTTGGACACTGTCGTTATGATAGCTGCAAAAGAAAGGAGTCAATGACATGATATTTTCAACGAAGGCATGCATTAGACTGTGTTTTTATGCTATCACAATTACCACAAATATCGTTCTTTTTTGCAGTTTCTGGAGAGCTGACTGAATAAGAGCATTAGCCTGTGTATTTCCCAGGGAAGTGAAATTCTTCCTGAGCATACTTAGCCACTCGTAAAAGCCACTGAGCTGGTGTCATAACTAGTTCAATAGCTTGATGGACTGCAAAGCTGTCCTGGTGATGGAATCTGAATCCAGTGATTAGTATTGAGTAGTATAATTGAGTGTAAAATGCATGCTCGTAAAAGCACAGGCATAGAAGTTTTTAATGGATTTTTAAGGCAGCACTATTTTCTAGTGGCAGCTGAAGACATGAATTCAGGAGAGAGAGGCTACATCCCCTCTGAGGCAGGGGAGCTTTTCCAGCTGGGGCCATGGTCATTGCTGCTGCCCCAGCCGACATGGGGTTTGAGCACGGTCCTCCACCTTTCCAGCGCTTAAAAGGCCAAACTGGGATAACAAGCCTGGCATTGAGCATAAAATCATGTTAAATTTCAACATAGAGTAAAACTTACAACTGGTAGCTGTAGAGCAAATATTTCAGTTTGGCTTCAGGGAGTTTATGACCCTCTCTCTGACACTCGCTGGTTTGTCTCATCTCATTGCTGCTTTCAGTCCTAGGACAGAATGGAAAATAAATCCTTTCAAAGCTTTTTACAGAGGTAAAATCCCATTCCATTTACCATTTGCATTTACCAATACGCAGGCTGATGAATTACCCCTATCATTAAATAACAATTTGGCAATCATGAAGCAATTCGATAAGCTGTAACCACAAAAGTTTTAGAAATACAGTGAAACGGGACTGATTTCTTCATACTGGGAATGATGTACCGATGCCTGACTGCGGATTGTCAGAGAAGCTGTGAGTACAAATTAGACTGAAGATAAGATTGAGGCTCAGCTTTTACAATTTAAAAGGTTTTAGGAAAGGCTTGAGATGTAGAAGACAACACAAATCCTCAAGAAAAACAAGATTCTTGCTTTTGGTCGTTCATATAATGACAATGAGAAACATTTTGCAGATGATTATTAGCTAGATCAGTGCTTGGCATCAATACAAATGAAAGATGGGGAGAAGTCAAGACTTAGGTCTGCCCTTTCTCCAGTGTCCCATCAATAAGTGTGTTTCCAATCAGTAACTGATGTCGGTGTGACAAAAGGAAATTTGGGAAATGAAAGCCAGCTTTTGTGAGAGGAAAAAATGCGTTTTTTTAAGTGATACCGACCTGAGCCTCAGGAAATTAAACAAGTTACAAAAGTCAATATTAGAAATACAGAATAAACAACGGGAATGCAACTCCCAGCAGAGAATGAGGTGACCATTTGTATAACTAAAAGACAGATTTTCCGAAGCCTTACATCCAAGATACACAAAGTGTATGCATCCAGCTCTTGGCCCAGCTACATCTGTGTTGGTTGCTGGAGTGCAACAAAGAAACGTGGCACTTGTAGCACACACAGCTTCTGGGCCCTCCTAAAGGAACAAAATGATAAAAAGTGTTTTCATTCCTTCTTTTTTTCTTCTTTGCATATCATGGCTAGAGGCCAATGGAAACTCATGGGTTGTTCCACAGTTTTTGGTATTTTCTACAGAATCCTATCTTCCTTTTGAAAACAACCCCCAAAACAGGGTTTCCACCCATTTCTCTGGCAGGAATCTTTCTGCCAGCCTGATTTACCAGGCATTAGCCATTCGCAAGGCTACCTCCCTGCTATGTAAAGCATGGCTCGGGGCAGCCTTAGAGATGTCCGACATGCGGATGACACCGTAGTAGGGAGGCTTAAAATTTTCTCCATATTTTCACCTCTCTGCAACATTAAGTGCAGGCTGTGGCTGGCGGTGCAGGCAATATGTGTTAGTAAAATAAAGAGTGGAAGGGTGATTGTACAGTGAAAACTAAGCATGGAGGTGTCAGAAGATCTAGTTTCAGATCTGGCTCCGTCCTCACCAGTGTGCTCACGAGTAAATGACTTGATATGTCATTCCCCGTTCCTCTGAAAAACTTCCTGTAACATAAATGTTTCAGTTATCGACCTCTCCGGAGAGTAGTGCAGTGATTTTTCTGAGGAGTTGGATCCTGTAGTGATAAATGCTAGTAAAATGCCTTTTCGGATAAGCATCAAGGCTACTCACCCGGATATTATCTCTTATTTCAGACTTAATGCTAGGATCTCCTTCTGCCAAGCCACTGCTCAAGAAGGATTTTCCTTCCAGATTGCTTATGCCAGGAAATAATGAGGTTTTTACTGCTTTTTTTCTCATTCTAGCCATTGTATCTATTGCAGTGGTGTCCTCACCTTCCTTTTGAACAAGGGGAAGAAGACTTTTTCTGTGGATGAGGAGGAGAGCTCTGGGCTTCCTCTCAGCGGTCAGCTCATTTCTTTCCTCAGCCTGGATGTATTTAAGCTTCCAGCGAGTCCAGGCTTGAGGTCTTCTGGCTCATAGTTGCATTCAGGGTTGCAGCAGTCCAAGATAATGGTGCAAGTGTTTAGTCAGTGGAGAGAGGCTACCAAGACTTTTATGATGGGAACAGCCCCTATCACCTTTTTATATGAACACTCATCTCGGAGCATGCATGTCCACTGCAAACCCCACCTTCCAGTCTGTCTCCAAAGTGCTGCCTTCTCCATATGTGGCAAAAGGTTATGAGGTGCATAACCCTATCGACTCGGCATGAGGAGAATCAGAGCAGGCTTCCAGGAGTCCCATAAATGATATGTTCTTGGAGAGCACGTATACTTGAAGTGGCCCTTAACAGTATCGCATAAAAGGTATCTTTTGTCTGCAAGACCAGTAGAAGAATGTAAAAGGAGACGCATCTTTGAGCCATATAGTTGACATGAAATGAAGTCCTGAGTCGACTGAGGTTGATAGGAATTTTGCTACTGACTCCTTTGGGAGTTGGGATTTGGTTCCTTATCTCTACCGCTGAATACAGAGCATCTACTCAAGTAACTGGTGCTGTACAAATGATAGATAATTAGTATAACAGATGAGGTGAGTCCATTTAGTGACGTTCTCCAGCTTTCCTCCTCCAGTGAAATCTTTTCCTGAAGTGTTAGATCTTTGGGATCAGCCACAAACAATTAGAAAGAAATTTATCAAAGCAAGAATATTTACAAATACATGATAATTAGATTGTGAAAAAATACTTAACTGTGCAAGAGATGGCTTGCTAGCCATGAGACTTTGTTGTTTCACTATAACATTTGCAAAGATTAAATTGATTCCAAAATATACCTCTGATTTTAATTACCAAGTTTTTATTAAAAATTTCCCAACAAGTAAATTGGTAAGACTTGCAAGAACTGGATCTTGCAAGATGCTATATTTTTGCCTTTGAGGTTAATAATCTCTTTGCATTTTGGGAAACTACTCAAGAATATCCAGCTATTCACATGACTAAATGTTTGTACAGAATCAGACCCTAAAAAAAGTCAATATTTCTATCCAATGGCCCATTTTTCTGTGCTGTATCTGCTCCCCACATGCCTGCATTTACGTGATGTTTTTCTATTTATAATCAAATGGCCTTGGCAGGGGGACGGTATGTTAAAATTGGAGTTGGCAGAAAAGGAGACGAATAATTGCAGTGAAGTATGGTAGCAGAAACAGTACAATAAGTAAGACCTGTTGGTATAGTGATTATACCCCAGCCTGCGCAATCTGGACATTTACACAGATTTCTGCAGTTTAACATATAGGTGATTTATGCTTTCTATCGGAAAAGTTATTTATTTTATAGCATAGCTTTCACTTAAGCTTGCAGTGTTTATGATGTGTTGCGAAGGTGTAATGTTCTGTTTGGTTGTTCCATTGTGACTTTTCAAAAATGGCATGGAAAATGAAGGTAACAAAAGAGTGGTGTAATTTTGCTGCAGCTTGATACATTTTAATGTTTTGCAAGCTCATATTAATGACAGCAATTAAGTTTATTAAATATATTGCCAGGTCAGAATCCACATCCTGTTCTAAGCCAGTAGCTCGGTCTGCAGTGAATAAGAGCAAACAGTGGAAAACTGAGGACCTGGTTTTTCCAGCTGTAGGATAACACTGAACTCCCT